AAAACTGTGGATTGAATGTTTGAGTAAAAGACACAGCTCAGCTGCGGAGCGTGTGTGGAGTTCTGATCCACAGTTTCGTAACTCCACAAGGGGTACAGCCGGAGACGAACGAAGTGTGACTCGCTGATGATTTGGAACTTGAATTTATATGTTAGCGTTTGAGTTTGATTATCTTAATCATTTTGTGGTGTTGGTGTAAGAAAGTCCCTGTATGGTGCATCACATAAATGTGGGTATTTGAATGGTGTCTTTTACATCCAGGAAATGAGTGTATGCCCTCATATGTCCTGGAATGTGTGTGGTGTAAACAGAGGTTGCAAATAGATTGTGGCAGGGATATTGAATGCCCTGAGTGTGGGGTTTGGACTCCCTGGGATAAGAGGGAACGAGCTACGTACACAGTTGGGATTGTTTGTAGTTGGAACGATAGCCGAAATAGAGAGATTGGTGTGTGGAAAGGAAAACTTAATCCCAGAATTCGGGACATGTGAGAGAAAAACCGGGAGAATTCTATAAAGAGGTGTAAGAAACAATTTGCATGGAATCGTATTAAAAGGAGAAGTAATAAAATGGGAAACAATCAAGGGGGAATATTGAGGAAGAGTCCTCTGGGTTGTGTTATTACCCACTGGAAAGATATTGTTGGGACCGGAGGTACGGAAAATAAAAAGAACCTTATTAAATATTGCAATCAATGGTGGCCGTTGTGTAAGTTAGAAAGTGATGCTAAGTGGCCACTTAATGGGTCACTAGATTATAATACTCTATTACAACTAATGCTGTTTTTAAGGAGAGAAGGAAAATGGGATGAGGATTTGTATGCAGACATGTTTTTCACCCTCTGAAACCAACCGGAGTGGCAAAGGGACTGTGGAATGGTACCCCCACAGGACCCCATGGTGCTTGCACTTGAGTGAGAGAACAACAAGGGGCTTAGAGGTAAACTGAGGTGGTGTTGTTCGGCATGTAGTATTGGACAAAGATGTACAGAGACAAATAAAATTTCATCAGGTACCAGAACAAGATCTAACTGATTTGTTTAAGCCTCCCCCTCGACCACAGGAACAGGATGCAGACTCGGATAGAACTCCAACCCCCCCCAGACAGCCCTGTATCTTCCCGTACTAGGAAGAAAACTACCTCAACAGCTTTACAAGCACCTCTCCGAGAGGCGGTGAGGCCGGATGGTGGGACGATGTTAATCAAAGTACCCTTTTCTACTGCTGACGTAGGGGAATGGAAAAAGGTGGCAAAAGATTATAGGAGTGATCCAAAAGTGTAACTAAGCATTGCCAATTTATTGTAAAACAGCATAACCCTGATTGGAAGGATATACAGCTATTATTAGAATATATGACCGAAACAGAGAAACAGCTGATTTTAAAAACAGCAGGGAACCTAGCTGAAGATCATTATAAGATCACAGGAGGGGACATTAAGGAATATTTCCCTCTCCAAGACCCAAAGTGGGATGTTAATAGATCTGCACATATGGAAAGATTGCAGGGGTATCAGGATTGGATTACAAAAGGAATGGAGAGGGCAATCCCCAAAACTATAAATTGGTCAGCTTTATATGCAGTCAAACAGAGTCCTTCCGAGTCTCCATCTGAATTCCTGGATCGACTGAGGGATGTAATGCACTGCAGCACACCGCTGGATCCTGGGTCAGAGGTAGGAATACAACAATTAGTCTCCCTGGTTTTGGGTCAGTCTACAGGGGATATAAGGCGCAAACTTCAGAAATTACGCCCTACAGAGAGTAGGAATTTAGAAATATTGTTGGATGAAGCATGGAGAGTATTTAGTAACAGAGAAGAAGGATATAGGCAAGGGCAAAGGAAATTAATGGCTGTTATTCAGGAAGAAAGAGGAAGAGGGCCTAGACGAGACTTGCCTTGACTGGGCAAGGATCAACGTGCTTTGCGTAAGAAATTCGGTCATTAGAAAAGGGAATGCCCAAGGAACAAGGGGGATCAGAGGGCTCAAACAGGAAGAGTGGTAGCCCATGTGAAGGGAGATTGACGGGAACCTGGGGAATCTACCCTAGCGGATCCACTGGTTATAATTAAGCTAGGGAAAACACAACAAGAGGTAGAATTTTT